TACATTTCATTAGATTTCTTTTATTTATTTTCAATTTAACAGACAATTTGACCAAATGAGTACAAAAGAACTGGTAAATCAAATTACATGTTGATTACATTTTACAATAACTCAAAGTACAACAAAAGAATGAAGTACTACAATGAAAATATAATAATAAAAAAATTAAATGACTCTTACAATTTTAACATGGTGTAAGTATTGTTCATATGGAAATGAATAATGAGCATTTCAATTGCATTGCACGAGTCATATTTAAATTTCAAATGTTTTCTAACAGCCAATGCTTTATGCGATCTGTCTAGTCTCTTCAGGCAGACATGTGCCTGCTTGCACCTCTCAGGATAGGCACTTTCAGGCACTCCCTCTCTTTGCAATGTATTCTGAGAAAAGGCCCTTTAGTGAGTGTAGAGCAGCAGCCTGCTGTGTCCATACTTGACGCATGCATGTTGTGCGTAGGCCAGCAAATTCTCTTGCTGCCTGCCCACACTTAAAGACTCCAGTTTCTACTCATGTGCAAACCATGTAGCATGTGTATTTACTGTTTTGTTGATGAGTTAACATGCGGAGTGATTATTATTTAGGGAGTGTTTATTTTCTCATTTTAAATTAGTATGCTGCGGATTATTAGAGTAACTTGATTTTTTAATCTTTAAATCTGATTTTATGTTAATATTACAACAGATACATTAAATGAACTACTTCGTAAACTGTTTTGTTGTCTTAGTGATGTAGAAAAGAGACAAATTTTTGACAGTGGTTGACTTACTCCTGTATTGAGTACAGGTGTACATTGTGCTGGTGACAAAAACGCAAGAAAATTCAATCCTTCGAGTTATGATTCACACAAATAGCAAACAGGTTGTGGAGTTGAAGTAAAACTTTGTTGGGCATGTCTTTTATTTTCAAATAAGAATAATACTTGGAATAGAGATGGACATTTTGACATGAAAAATTCAAATGTCATATTATCACATATGTAATTCTGAGAATCATAAAAATCTAGAATAAATTCAAATCTGATTTCTGAATTTTGTGTGGGCAACACAAACTTGCAACCCTTTTTTAGAATCTGAATATCTTGTAAGCATATCTGTGCATGCTTCATGGCAATAATGCTTTGGAATGTAATGATATCAGTGAGACAATTTTTTTTTAATAAATTGAATAAAATTACGAAACAATTGGATTGAGAGGGGGCGTGGCCCCCTTGCCCCCTTCCCGAATATGCTGCTGAGCAGTAATCTGTTTTGCCCTTCTTGAACACTTGATTTATGAGCCACCACTGACAACTACTTGCTTTTGTTGTCATTCTTTTGTAATATGCAGCTTAATGAAGCAGGCTGTGCATTTTGTGATTTATAAATTTGTGTGTTTTCAGTGAAAACAGACTTCTTATAATTCATGGCCTCATTGATGAAAACGTCCATTTCTTTCATACAAGTCAACTCATCAGTGCATTAGTGAATGCTGGCAAACCATATCAACTCCAGGTTTGTAAAAATTGTGATGTGCCAATTCATATTTATTTCTTAATCTGTCAAAATGATTTACTTTTTGCATAATTGATCTTTTTAATTACAGGTTTATCCCAATGAGAGGCATAGTCTTCGACGCTTAGATGCTAGCAAACACTACGAAACTACTTTATTATCATTTCTCCAGAATCACTTATAGTGCTACTTCTTCTGTAAATGGATGGTAATTTGCACATGTATACTACCCACCCTTGCATAATCGTTATTACCTTTAAAACATTATTAGTTCAATCTATGAAAAAGTGCTACTTTATTTTGTTTTAATGGCAATGCTCTTCAGATCTTGTTTTCATGGTGAGGAAAAATTCCTGTTTTTGAAACTCAAGTGGTTGAAACTTATGTGCAATGTTGGTTTTCTGAATGTGAAAGCTTCAATCAAAAGAAGTATGTAAATGTAAATACAATTACTCAGTGGTGTGAATGGGCACAAGTAGATATATAATGAACAATGTTAATTTAATTAGTTTAATTGATAGGAAAGTTATCTCCATTTTGTCATAGAGATTACAGTAATATTTGCCTTCGAAAATAACTGCTAGTTCTTTTGAGAGTATGTCCCCTCCTAACATGGGATTTCAATTGAATCTGTTTTGCCTCCGATATCCCTAAAATTTGTTATATTTATACACTTGCAGCGATAGTTTTTCTTCCTTATTTTTTTTCTTCTACCTCTGGCTTTGTGAGAAAATAAATAAGCACAGGAAGACATAAAATCTTAGGTTATAGTACTTTTCATGTGTGAAAAGGTTCTGTAGTTTAGCATTTTCAAATCATGAACTGAATCTGCAGCAACGAGAAAATAAAACAGTAAAAATGTTTTTGAAATCTTACTGCAGGATATAAAATATTTTATTTTGATATTATTGTGTATATCTTTCTTTTTAATGTTGCCAAATTTTTTTACACATTTAACAGCAGTTTTACTGTGCTTATTTCTTCCTAGTCTTACTAATTTAATATTATGTAATTTGCAATGTGCAAAAAAGAAATACCTCAAATTTTTTTGTTAAAATTCTTATAAGCAGAAGGGAAGGACAAACAATTTCCAAATAATTAATTTCATGGGGATTTTACTGTATCACAGGATCTTGGTTTTGGGGTTTATACATTACCTGGGAACTGGCAAATATCTAGAAGAACTGGCATACAGATATGTCATTGCTATGTTAGTAAATTGTTCCCGTATCTATTGTAAGAACCGTATTTCTGTTATTTGAGGTATGATTGAGGACAGTATTTATACGAAACACTTCCATAATATGTAAACATTAATATATAATTGATATGGCAATTTTATTGCAATAATTCTTGAAATTTTTTTCTTGTTATTGTGTGACAAATAGTATTTAATACCATAACTAAAACCTAGTTCAAAATGCAGGAAGTTTTAGAATTGTTGGGAACTGACATTTCTTGTAATGAAAGATTTTTTAATCCTCATGTTGTGAATCATGTACATTTGACAAAAATTAAGAACGTCTTCTCCACATTACGATAGTAAAATGGATGTTATGTTCTTTCTGTATATGCTAGTGCGTTGAAGTAACAAGTACTTACAGAAATTGCAAACAAAGAAAAATAACTCATTACTTAAAAAATATATAACTTAACTTGTGGAGTAACATGTGTGTTTTAGATAACAAAAAGAATTCTTTTTGCATAAATTTGTATATATTGCTTATTTAAAGAGAAGGGAATTTGTTTCTTTAGCAAGAGTACATAAATAGTGATTGAAGTTCTAAAATAGTCACTGAACATGACATTTCAGTAGTCCCTTCACATTGGCCAAGAATGGGAATACTGTAATTTTTATCAAATCTTTAAAAGTAAACACATTGGAATTTTGAATATTTTGGAAAGTTATCAGTATTCATGTAATTTTAAACAATTCATACTAATTACAGTGATAACTTCATGTGTTCTTTTGAATGATTATTTTAATATCGTTTGAATGTATTTAAAAAAGGCATGTATGTATTGAAAATGAAACAGTTATTCAACTTTACAGATAGATAAGTTTAGAGAGCCATTTTTTTCTGGAAATACTGCAGTTAAGTGGTCATAAAAACATAACACAGTTGTTGCATGTCTTTTTTACCCATGTTTTACAAAAACATAATTCACCTTTGTGAAATTATGATTTAAATGTACGGTACATATGAAGGAAAATTTCTTTGAAATTAAGCAATTTATTCAGTCCACGTGAAGACAGTCTTGAGAATTTAAGTACTCCATAGAAATAAAACAAAATACATAAACCTGTTATCTATCTCTAAAGTGTAATTTGGAAATGCCATCCAAATAAAACTGACATTTCATGAATTCTTATGGAGGACAAAATTTAATATTGATTATGAAACATTTCAATTTCTGTTCTGCTTTATAATTTCCACTACATACCTACAAATTTCCACTCCTAAACGCAAATAAACTGTTCCAAGTTGGGTTATCCAAGAGGAAATATGAAACTCAAACCTGTCTCAGAACCATAATAGTCACATGATAGTAAACAAATTTTCAATGAAAAAAAATTGAAAATGTTTAAGTGATGAAAAGTAAGTTATCTGATAGGTTAGAAATACATAGTTATATTCCTGCGAAACAAATCCAGAAGAAATCAGTTGTGACTCAAAAATCTGCAATACTCATTTTATGACTACAAATAATGCAGGCATAAAATTACAACTTGATGTTTTTATTACAATTATGTTAATTATTTTATTCAAAACCATTATTTTCTCTTTCACATTCTCGTTTTTTACTACAATCTACTTACATTTGTATGTACCTTCCACAGCAGAAGTATCTAGTAAAATTTTGAGGTAAATGCTGGTACAATTCCTTCTTTGCACTTTTATCATAAATGTTCACTTGATTTGGCAACTACAGAGAACAACTGTTTTGCTAGTGTTCTTTTTTTGCCGTATGAACTTCTTAAGTAAAACTACAGCAATGTCAGCCTTCAATATGAAATGCCATATTCAGATGGCACAATCATTCCATCTGTACTTGCAGTTAGCCATACATTAACCTCTTTACGATATTCCCCTAGCTGCAGAATGTGTTAAAATAAGAATATCACCAGAGGGGTACATAAAGCTAGCTAACTGCTGCCATGCTGAAGCACAAAGCCCCTTCCCTTCACCTGTGTTAAAATACTACCACACCCATATTAGACCCATTGATGAAAGGGTTTTCTGTGGGCTACAAGTTTGTCATCTAAAAAGCAATTATTGTGCAATGAAGAAAATGTAATTAGTATTTATCTTTTAAACCTATGTATACTTTTGCTGAAGTACTTTCAACAAAAAGTATTCTACTGTTTACATACACTGCTCTAAATCCAGGAACCCTCAAGACTAATTAGATAACTCCTTGTTTCAATAAACGTACAGGGTTCATTAAAAGAATTACCTCAAAGCCTTTTCATATAACTTTATTTAGACATCACTACACTATATTTCACTGCTTAGATAGACCAGTTTTTGTTTCCCGGTTAAGATAGCGATACAGGTAACCTATTCGCTTCTCTAACATTTTCCATTTTGTTGGTCTAATAGCAGGGTATATTGTATTCTTTAATATTTTCCTTTTACGTAACAAAACTTGATATTCGTTACCATGAAATCCCCGGAGCCATCTAGGTACGTTATATAGTATTTTGGTGGGATGGATATTTCCATTGCCAAGTATATCAATGTAATCATTCTGTCCAAATAGTGCTCGCTTTTCTGACCAAACATTCTTTGGCCTATAATCAGGCATTGGAAGCTTATGACCGCATTCCAATCTAGGTAAAAGGCCTCCTTTAAACAATCTGTCTTTGTACCCGTATCTCCTCTTCAAAGGACCTGCGTCAATTTTTTCTGCATGGTAGCGAAAACGAACACTTGTAACTTGAGGAATCCAGCTTTGCCGCAAGCAGCCAATTATTGCGGTCGCAAATTGATTCATTGGTAACCTACACAAGAACAAAAAGCGGCATTGCAATTGACCCTCGCGATTATGACAAAACAAATATTATCAAAACTAAAAACAATAAAAGGGTTTAAGAACCATTTCTGTATGCGCACCATTCAAAGGTATATTTTTGAAGTTCTACACACAGCAAGGAGTATGTGTTTAAAATTTACTTGCAAGTCGCACCAAAATCACTTGCCCTTCCTTCCCAGTTTCTTCCGCAGACCGAGCGCTGTAACGTCCAGGTTGTCAAGTACTGTCTTCTAATCCTTCCAATGTTGTCAGTCAGGGATGTCCGGTATTCTTTACAATACAAATTCGCTTTGATTAGAAGAACATACAAAAGGTTAGAAGTACGTACGCTCCATTGTACAACAATTCTGCGCATGGCGCCGTGTATGGACCAAGGGACCAATAGACGTCTGTCCTGCATTTGCCCGCTATATTCAAATTATTTCCATGTATATTAGAAAATTAAAATTGCTTATTAAAAATTGGCACTCTTTTCTGCAAAAAAACAATACTTTCTCAATAGTACGTGTACGATAAAGTAAAGATTGTTTTTGGTTTTGACAATTTTCGTAAACATTTTCTTTTAAAAATTATGTTAAAATTAAGTTTACAGTTGTTAAAGGACCCTCAAAACATTTCCATGCCAATATATAGGAAAATAAGAAACGTATGTTCAATAGTTTCAAAAACCATGGTATATATTTCTCTTTCTTTACTTTCTGAATCTATGTAAGACCCGAGAGCAAGAAAATATTGACTTTTATTTTTAAACGGGCTCTCTAATGTAACTTTAATAATTACTGTAGCGTATTGTCAATTGTGTTAAAATATTGTAAAGGCAAATCTTTTAATATCGGTATTCTAAATGGGGTTGCCGTACTATATTTTCCCCAATATACTCTTTTCTGGGAGGTGGTGTTATGAAAAGGCAGGGTCGAATGTCGTTCCCAGTCCGGCCGTGGCATCAATCTTTGCTTTAAGAGGCAAGATGATTTGAACATCGAAACATCCGTGAGTCATGGAATGAAGTAGACGTGGAAATTTTAATCAAGTTTTTGTGGTAGAAATCTACGTTCACGCTCCACTTCCTTTGCCCGTGTGCGTTACTCCACGACCTCATCAAGGAACGTTTAGACATCAGTGTTAATTTTTTTTTTTCATTCGATTTTGCTTCTGTCTGCTATCGTACAGGAGCACGTTCGGTCCGTTTGTTGCTTCTTTTTATTTGATACCTATTAAAAACAAGTATATTGGAATAGATTTCGCCTCTTCTCTTACATGTTTTTATTTGTGATTGCATTTCTTTCTCTGATTTTTACTTTCTCGCATACTCCTTACTTGCGTAGTAAAGAGAAAGTATTGTAATGCTGCAGCTGAAATTGGGAATTTTGGATAGAAAAAGTCGTATTGCGAGGCCCTGGTAGCAAGAAAATTGATAAATCTTGTTTCCTTATGTAGTAAATTATTTCCACTAACGTTGTAAGGGCAATCAACGTTTTTAGATCCTTGATATCGAAAATGTCATTGACAGCAATCCATCCGTCTGAGGTCAACGAGCGCCGAAACCGCTCACATTATTCGCTTCAAAATTGATGATCCCCCGATTAGATTGAACGTACTCGAGGTCCTGCGAGTTTCAAACGAATATTTTGATTTGAGGGGAAAATTTACATGACGCCTCAACATTTTCAAAATTTTCTCAAAAATGGCTCTCAATTTTTTAAATTAAATTTTGACATCTGAGAGAGTAAAGAACGCTTAAAAAATGCGTGGATATCATTCTCGCTAAAATACCTGAAATTTTGAACATTGAAAAAGTTCAATTTTTTTCGGCGTCTTCTTACAACACCAATATTACAGACAGAAATTTTCCTTAATGAAATATGTACTTCAAATGTATTTCTTGAAATTAGGTAGTGTAATAGCGCTCGCTCAATATGCGCTCAGAGTCATTTTTGGGGCTCTATGGTGGTATGTTTTGCAACTTTGAGTGCTGAACGAATGCGATGTTACTTACTATACTTCCAGAGCGCTCCAAAGCGTCAACTGCTGGGCACAGTATTGAGATTTTTTTTCCGACTGTAACTCCAATTATTGCTCAGCGTCTGTGATTGTCGAAACAGTTCTTTTCTAAAGCCATTGAAATTTACGGGTCGATAGTTTGTCATGTATTTTACTAGTTAAGCAGCCTCACGTTGTCCCTATTTCTTGTGAGTGTAAAATATTTTCTGGTTCCAAACACAATACATAAACAAAGAAGAAGTTTGTTCAAATAAACTAACTTTTCCCACCTGTATGTATATTGTATCTCCTCTATCCAGCCCTCGCACCGAATGCGGGCTGGCCCTCCTGATGGGCCACGGTCCACGGTCCTAATGAAAACGAAAGCCTAATCTTTAACATCTTTATATATATATATATATATATATATATATATATATATATATATATATATATGTGTGTGTGTGTGTGTGTGTGTGTGTGTGTGTGTGTGTTATATACACACATACATACACATACAGTAAAACTTGACCAATGCGGAATTTTTTCAAAGGACCAGTTTTTTCCGAATTAGGCAAGATTTCGAATTATGCAATGTTATATTGTAGAAAATATTTTTTCGCAATTTATGTCCGCGATTTATGTTCACATTAGGCAGATTTGCGCATTATACACGTTCCGCATTGAGCACGTTTTACTGTATATTTCGTTATCCACTGAACAAATAACTTCTCCCCACCATAGAGTAAGCACACCACCCTCATCTATGTAACTAATATGCAATGCAGGCAGAAATTGAAAGAAAACTAGGCAGCCTCCAGCCAAGTGAGAGGTGTCGATGGTTTTGTTAAATGTTTAGGAACTCACAAAACAGACATGTCGTTACTAATTTCCAAAGCGTGCAGAAAGGGAAAGGAAACTTCGCAGCCACCGACAAAGTGAGAGGTATATGAATTTTTGTTAAATACCCAGGATCTCTAAAGAAATCCAAAAACTACGAAACAGTTTCGTTTTTGACTGAAAAATCTAAACACGCGGTGAGCCCTTTCTGGAAAACACAGAGGAAATTGGAAAATACAAGGAATTTCAATTTCAGAAAAAAATACTGGGAAAACACAGGGAAAAATTTCTCGCGTTCAAAAAATTAATTGTCGATATAGAATTCGAGCTAACAATTACTTCCAAAAGACTGAATTAATAATTCATGATCAAATTATTTATAAGAAATTTTATAAAGTATAAGAATCATTTTTAAATCACTGTTTTAAGTTAATTACTTCATTTTAAGGCATAAACTACCAAATTACACGATACTCTATGAAATGTACAATCTAATGCACGGTTGTCCAATTACCGGCCCGCGGTGCCATTTGTTGTAACATGTGAAAGGTAATAAGAGGAAAGTGGAAGTCTCTTGCATCCTTATCGCGCGAGAACATCGTGAGCCTAGGGCACGCGGACTGCTGGGGTCAACGCCCCCTTCAATGTACAAACAAGCCAAGAAATTCAAAAGCATCCTAATGTGTTTCACTCAGTTATGCATGGTAAGGTCTGTTGTCCCGCATGGCTCCACTTCCCCTCCCCGTTTCAGAGCAGCTAGGCAAACTGTCGAAATCAGCCTCAGCCATATAGGGAAGGTACGTGTGGATTTAGTTGTGGCCCTTGATGCCTTTCAAGTTGGACACTCCTAGACT